ACAGACCTGTATCACAAGCTTCAGTGTCTACTGTCAGCAACATCCTTATACTGCCATACACTCCCTTCCCAAAAACTTACCCAGCTTTCTCTTTCTAGCAGTAGATTTGAGGGTTGCCAGGATCCCTGGCTCCATAACAACCAATGCTTTTAGCTCCAGCAACCCAAACAGCCTGGGAACTTGAGCTTCTGTGGTTCCCTATCAGCTGCCTGGGAAGCTAAAACGGTTCCCGGCGCTCCCACGGGCACTGGCTCCCAAGCTTTGAGGCATCTAACTCGGAACATGCCACACTCACAGGAGCTAATGAGCAGGAAAGGCTTGGGAGAATCTTATCAGAATTCCTTCTTTTCACAAACGGTTTTGATTTTCAATGAATTTTCTACTGCTGATGAAAATTTCCTGTCCAGCTCAGTCAATCATTCATTTAACAAAGACACGGTGGCTGAAGCTAATGACCTGTGTACGTGGCTCCAATCAGTAATGCCAGAACAACAGTAATGCTGTTGTTACCTTTACTCTCTCTCTTCCTTCTCCTGCCTTTTGTTTGTTCATGGCCCTCACTCCTGTAGTGGGAGATGCAAACCCCCTTTAATTCAGCCCCCATTTCGATAGACACTGGATAAAAGTCTTGGGTCTAAGCGCTGCACTTCACTTACAGCATCTTTAATTTTCACTGTACAGCTTGTTGCACTATTTGATCACTTGAGATAACAAACATTAATTTTTGCTGTTCAGGAATGAAGTTTTTGGAAGATTGCCCAGTTCAGCCACTAATTCCATTATATCTGTTGGTGGGTGGCGTGATTGGCAGCTTAAAGGTAATGTGCCTTCTGTGTGTGAAAAATATTTTGTGTGACTAGACTTTGACTTGCTAGTTAAGACATAATGATGGCTCCAGACAGCTATGTGCATGCAGTACTGAATAGAGCTACCGTGACTGAACTGTGCTTGTTCCAGCACCTAAAGCACCCGTCAGTCAAGTGAGATGCTAATGAGTTCAGCATTCAGCATTGTCCTACACATTGTGCTGTGACTTTCTCCTACATCACAGCATCTGTGCTACCATCCCTACTGAGGGAAATCATAGAATCATAGAATGGTTGGGGTTGGAAGGGACCTTAAAGATCATGTGGTTCCAACCCCCCTGCCATGGGCAGGGACACCTTCCACTAGACCAGGTTGCTCAAAGCCCCATCCAGCCTGGCCTTTAAATGACTATATAACATGGGTGCCTGTGGTAAATGGGGTCCTATTTCCACAAGCAGTCCTCCAAGCCTACCAGAGTTTTCTCCTTGGTTTTCAGACACACAGGCTGGACAAAAAGTGAAGTTACTCTCCTAGCTTTGGGAATACTATAAAACTACAGGTGTTTGTACATAGTCCTTCACAAGTTCAATTTACTCCCACTCTGACTTGGCCAGAAGCAATGACTACACAGCAGCATGGCTTCCTTCCAGAGTAAATATATCCTTGCATCACAGCAGGGCTTATTAATCTAGGCACAGCATTTTCTAACCACACTACCTGTCTTGTAGGGGACTGTGCTCACTTACATCTTCACTGAGCCAGAGCCTGGCAGCTTGACAAGTTGAGACACCCCTATATCCGTGTTACACCCTGGCCACGACAAAGCTATAACTCGGCGTTGACTCTAGGGTAAAGGATCACCCCGTTCTGACAGTCTCTTTGCAGACAGTGTTAACTGGCTGCCAGTGGGCATGAAGAGACTTGTCACAACAGACTGCAGAGCTACTTTAAGGCTTCTCAGCAGGATTAGGCAAAACTGGTTTTTTTTGCTGTCCCAATGATGTTCCTGCCGAAGGAAGGAAAAGGGGCAGATGTGAAGGAAAAGCTTTGGAATTGCAACACTGGGGCATGAAGGGCTAAAAGTAGCAAGTGCTGCTGCTGGAGAGAATGTCTGCACTGGTAGCATTGGCTGTCCTGCATAGCTAACAGGGGCAGCAGCAACCCAGCACCCAGCCTACCTTCCCAGGAGGCTGGCACCAGCAGAGCAGACGGGCTAGACCTGACAGATTGTGGCCTAATGTTCCAGTACAGGCAGCCTGTCCCTTGAAAGGGAACCTGCTAGTCTCCGTCTTGACAGCACTGCATATTGCAGCCAGCAGACGCCACAGACAGGACCTAGCTACGTTCCCCTTTGATCATGTTTCTAGCCCCTTTTCTTTGCCAGGAGAGAAAGAAGGGGGAAATAATATTTCTCTGCAGGTCTCTGCATCTCCTGCACTCTTTCACAGTGGTAACCAAACTGCAGTACAGCACTGGGATATGAATCATTCCCCCAAGGACCTTTGGTCAGTAAATAAGTAAATGGAGAAAAAAAGGAAGTGCTTAATCTTGTTATAAGGAATTTGCTATTCTATGAGTTCTACTGGCAAATGCTTAGTCATTCGATCACACCAGTGGACTTATCTGTATAATCAAAGGCTCATTTAATAATAGTTTAGAAAAGATTAGAGCACAATTGAAAGGAAATTTTCATGCTAATGAATTGAAGCCTTCATCAAAAATGTTGACTGTTTCTTAGCTATTTCTGGTTTAAAGTCAGGTTTTCTCACCCTAAATAAGATGGTAAGTGAGTCAGTTAATATTCCTGCTGATGTCAAATAATGGCTTGAATTTGGCTTCAGTTGACAGCAGGACTGCCTATTTTGCAGTCTGGCAATATATTTGGCCAGAATTTGATTGGCCTAACTTATGTGTCATCTCATAGTGCTTGATCTGTAGCCAAATACCACCTATCTCAAATCTGCCCTCTGTTATGTTCATCAGACTGCACCGACTTCACTGAGCAGTACCTTTGCTTGACCTCTGAAAGTTAAAAGGTCAGAGAATGGGTATAGGATGAAGTCTGCATGAACGCTGTCCTGTGATGGACATAATTTAATGGCAAGTCCTTCTGGCCCACATCTCTACAGATCTGCAGGCTCCTCATCAGTCTGTTTACCACCTCCAGTCTTTTAAAGGCAATGGTAACCTACAGGTGTTCACCAAGGCAACTGAACCATTCTACAGCATCTGGAGAGGCCTGCTGAATTCATGTCATGCTGCTCCATAAATGTATATTCAGCAGTTATTAACAATGTGAGCAACTGCCAGAATTTGCTTCAATCACAGCTTGGCAAGGCACTATACATAAGACTTAAATGCACTTTCCATGAACTGGTTAGATGCAGTTGAGATCCATAAATCCCCCTAGGAGGTTTCTCTGACTTCCTCAAAACCAATGCTCATCTGCCACTTAACCCCATTCCCATTGCTGAGCTCAGTGAAGCTTGAGTGCAAGCAGCTGCCTGTGTGTTGAGCTGACCTCAAAGCTAATGAGCTGCACAGAGCTTCAGGTCAAGCCACAGGTCCCCATGCAGAAACCTCAGACCCACTGGCCACATAGGTTTATCCCTCCTCTGTGTCATGAGCCTGCCTGCCTAAAATAAATGTTCACCTGAGAAGATGCTCTGCTGGTTTGAACAAGCCTACCAGTTTGAGTGCTCAGCTGGCTGTGAGACATCCAGTGGAAACACCATTTTCCTTGCCTATGTTGCTGCTGGGACTTTAATCTTCGTTTCTCACAAACTGGTACCAACATCTGGGCTAGAAAAACAGCTGGGTTTGTGAACAAAAATTTAATTATTTATACATAATTGAACAGTCTTACAGGGAAGAGCAAGAAAATCCTCTTCCCGGGATGTCCTGGATCCTCCTGCTAAGCCTTGCCTCTAGAAAACAGGCCACAGGGACTAAAATCTGAACCAGGAAGAACATATACCCAGATGGGTTTTCCTTAGCCAGTGTTCTCACCATTAATCACTGACTAATGGAGAAGGGAGAGCATAAAATGAGGGGTGCTCCTCTCTCTCATTTCAAGCAGAAAAATGGGCACAGAATATAAATCTGGGAAAGAGAATATGGCTGAGAACCCTGCTTGGACAGTACACCCCTCCACATAGCCACTTGTAAATCCACATCTTTTACCTTTCCCTCTGAATTTCATCCCTGGTTGGCCGAGGCAGGTTCCTGCTCAGTGGGTGTCTCAGAGTCCCTTTCCCAAAGACACAGCTCGCTGCAGGGAGGCTTGCACAGGAACCTCAGTACCTAAAAAGAGGAGCTCCAATTACAACAGCTAGTGCCTTGAGGACTGGGCCAAGTGTTTCAGGTGTAGCCAGGTAACACAGGTTTCACAATGTTTGGCCCAAATCCTTGTTGGGCCCAGTATATACCTCTCACATAAATCTACCCAAATTAAGAAAGTCATTTAGAGGACAGAAATTTGAAAGCTTCTCTGCACTGCAGTCAACTTACCTACATACCTTGCATGGCCAAGACTAAACTAGAAATCTTCTAAGCATTGCTGATGAGTCCTACTGCATTTCCCTGTAGACCAGACCTTCCTAACCTCATGGTATCATGGTATTCCACCTATTTCTCTGCTGGTTCTGACTGAAGGCAGGAATGGAGCAATCTGAGAAAATGACACTTCATTGAAGAAAACTTAACAGAATCATTCCAAGTATCTGAAGCAATTTATCTGGGGTTTAGGTCGAAGTCTAGATCCTTCATAATTTTATTTAAGCTGACTCACCTATATAGCCACGGAAAATAGAGTTAGGAGAGACAAATCCACCCACTACAAGGCAGGAACTACTCTACTTAAGTCATTTAGCAGTTACTCTAATCTGTTCTCAAAAGTCTCCAGCGTGGGAGCTGCTGCCATCTCCCTACACAATCTGTTCTCGTGCCTTTCCATCCTTACCATTGGCAAGTTTTTTCCAATGTCTGGCCTAAATCTCACTGGTGAATAAACTGTAGGGAAAAAATGCATTATTTTCCAGCAGGATCTGCCTCATTTGTGGCTCCTCAGCTTTCTTTTACATGATTTTCCCACAACCAATTTTAATTTGGCCCAAAGATTGGCAGTGGCCAGAAGGTGTTCAGATTTTCCGCAGCCAATTCACTTATTCCTTTTTCTCCCCCAATGCCTCCAGGTGACTCTCCTGCTGTACGACTCAACCAGGATGAGGCAGCTGCTTTCCAAATCTGTTGTGATTGATGATGATGATGACGACGAATATCCCTGGAGGCAGAATGCTCACAAGTACTACATCCATCTAACCCTCAGCCTTTTCCTCTTTCTCTGGTTCATTCTCGGGAACTACTGGGTTTTTTCTGTGTACCTGCCAAATTTCATCCCACCTTTCCATCAGCCTCAGGATTACTGTGACAAAACCCTGTACATTTTTGCTGTTGGTGTCCTTGTTATTAGCCATACTGTTCTCTTTCTCCTTATCTTTTGTAGCTGCTGCATATATTGCTTTTCCAGGCAAAGGTACTCTTCTGAGGAAGACTAAATGCCACATAAATAAAGCCCCAGATGTTTTGGAAAGAGTATACAACAAAGAACAGGCAATAATTCACCCTTGTGTACATCTTTGTTGTACTATATATATGTATGATAGCAGTCAACTGCAAGAGGAAATTGTAAAATACAGTGCCATCTGGAAATAGCTAAGCTGGAATACAGCATAGTCAATGTAAAATTGCTGCTACAGATGCCAGGGTGCACTCTTGCTAACTTCTACATCCCTTTTCTGACTCTTGGATATTCTACCTGGAGTAAGCTCTTGCAGACACCAAACTCCTCTAAAACCAGGTTCCCTTATGTTGTTTCAGCATGGTACATCTTTGCCTCTAAAAGTAGCCCTCTTCACCGGGATCCTAACATCTCCGTAGCCTTGCTGAGGTATGTTACTGTCCCTGCATTACAGATGAGGAAGCTGAGACAAAGAGATAAAGGGCTGTATTCAGACGACCTTGCATGGCCCATGGACTTTGACAGTAACTTAGATGCTCACCAGAGAGCTCTTCAGGCCACTGTTAGACCAGCCAGTAAGTAGCTATGATAACGATACAAGCTTGTATAAAAGGCAGCCTGAATATGTCCCACAGGTCTCTTCTGAACTTGGATTAGAAAGTGTCTATATCTAACTTTGGTGCTAGAACAGATAGTCTGAATACATCCATATATATCGAATACATCCAAACTGAGCCAAGGCCACTTTGCAAGACTTTGGTAGAACAAGGAAATGAGCTACTGAGTACCAGATCAGCGCTTTAACCAGGGCTCAGCATTCCCCAGTCTGGGGAGACTCCTCTTCTCCACTTTTTGTATAGCCGTAATTTGTCAGTACCACACCAACACAAAGATGGTCATTCTTGGTCAAACCATTGTGATCGAGTTCATGGAAAAACCCATGTTATGTTGGTATTTTAAATATAAAACACAGTAATAAGACATGGGCAGGGATGTGAGAATTTCAGGTGGATGTGTTCACTACAGCAGTTCCCTGGTTGTGGTGTGAGTGTACGTTTGATTTGTTCACCTTGGTGCTGTACATATGGAAATCTACACTTAATAGACAGATGTAACACAAACAGCTTTTAAGTCAACAGCAGCGTCAGCTTTAAAAGCACCAGCATGCACAGAGACAATTGTTTTGTGACATGTAATGGAACAAGCCTGGTCCTGGTAGATTGTTTTTTCATGTGTTGATGAATGCAGTGTAAAAGTGCTCTTTCTGCTTCTGCTTTTATGAGCTTCTGTTAATATGGTCAAAATGGAGGGGCTCCCCTCTATACAAGCATGAGGGTGGCCCCAGGCACAGGAAGAGGATGTGTGTTTGGGGTATTTTTCCTGTTAAAACCCACGCAGCTGAAACCTATGTTTTAGAGAAACCTAAAAGAGTTATATGACGCCTGTGGAAGGGTGAGATCTGTAAAAGAACCTCAACAATATGCCACAGCTGTACAGGCTGTGCTCAACCACCCTTCCTGGGACTGAGGCTGAACATAGTGTAACATCTGTGGGAACCACCCATCTTCAACCATGAACATTTAATCTCAGGGGCTATTACATAGGTAACTAAGAGTGCATTTGGTCCATAAGGATTTAATTTCAGGCTCTGGCTTTAAGAATTATTTATTTCCAGAAAACTAATCTTAGAAAGAAGGTAGGATAAAGGGTGAAATAATCTGACAAGAGGGAACCATCAGTGTAAGCATCCCTCTGCTCTGCAGCAGCCACTCAAGAGAAGTCACAGTCAGGCTGTCCCCGCTCAGAAATCCATGGAATGAGAATTACTAACGCTGCTGGCTGACTTAGGCCATGCACAGTTGTATGTAGGGAGATAAAACCAATGGAAATCTTTCCTTTTATTCATGGGCCTCAGATTATGTCTGGGAGAAATCACAGGCTGTGTTTTCCCAAGAGCTGCTCCACCTCATGCTCTCCACTGCCTCTTTAAAGGTACTACACATTTCTGAAACTGCTGCCAATGGTGGAATGCTAGAATTCCTCCTTCCCACCCCAAATACTTCACTGGCTCAGCCCGTGGGCTCCTGGATTTCAGTGTTCACTTCTGAACTGATCTGAGTGATTTTACGTTCAGTGGAGAGCATCTTTCATTCATTAAGATGCCAAAGTGTTTAAGAAATTGCCTATCAGCAGGCATAACTCCATCCATCACTCAAATGCAACAAAGCATCTGTTTATCATTACACATGAACTTTACCCAAAAGCTTGGAACAGGCATAAAAAAGAAAATTATACTCTGTTGATAATGCAAAAAAAATTTAACAAGGAAGTAGGTACACACACTCCACCCATAGGACTCCAGTACAAACTTCCCCGTTCTTGCAAAATACTGCTAGAATCATTCTTGATCACAAAGAATTAAGGGCTCATACTCCTGATTAAGTCTGAACTGATTCCCACGTCACTGCAGATCCAGTGACCTTGCAGCAAGTGACGATGTGCGTGCTCCTATCTGAGCAAATATGAGGGGATTTTAGTTCAGCCTGGAGGAGAAGAGATGTAAGCTAAGTCACGTTGCCTTGCATTTTCTGTGTGCCTATGTGAGCATAGTTACCGCAGCTCAGCAGATGTGCAATGTTTTATCAAACTTCAGCTACACAACAGTAAATCTGAGGCCTATGTCTCATTCACAGGGTGCTAAGACTGACTGATTCTCTCCAGTCTACCGTGGAGGCTTAATTCTTTAGGTATGAGGGCCCAATGCATTCACTGACACCTTGGGAAAGTGCTGCCAAATCACAGCGCTATGTTCAGTACCTGGCTGGCACAAATGCAAAATGATAGAGGAGGTATTAACAAAGCAAAAGGCATTTATGAAATACTTTGAAGTTATACAGAGTAAACAAAAAGCTTTGTTAGGACTGGGAGAGGAAAATTCTGAATTGATAGTATTTACCTTTATTTGTGTACATCAATAAGCTATGGCACATGCAAGTGTGAAAATCAATACCTCCAAAATTGTTTGAGCCATCAATTCTGTATCCAGAGAGGTCTGAGCACGCCTTCTGTACTTTCACTGCTACTGCCTCCTTCAGCAGGCTGGAATCATGCAGGTGCGGAGTAGGCACACCTGGTTTTGCACATATGATTAAATACAACTGCGTTACAGTGACTTAATAAGTTACTGCTCTTCTCCTGATCCATCATCAGCAACATAGTTTCTCTTGGGTTGCTCCAATGTCTAAACAAAGCACTCAGCTTAAACCCAAATGAAAGTAGTTTAATTGAAGGGACTTTATCTCACGTTGGGGTAAGCTAGGAACACGTGCATGGTCCACAGCACCTTAACTTGCGAGCAGCAACTCTTTAAATTGCCACAAACTGATGGTGTCCCAGACATATGCTCAGTCCCTGGAGAAGCAGGCACATTTCAGTGCCCCACAGCTGTGAGTGAATTAAGTCATTACAGCCCAAAAGTCAAATAGCTGAAAATGCAATCTACACCTTGGTATGAAAATGTTTACTATTTTGCCACTAGACTAAAGTTACAAATTGAAAAAGTTCACTTTTTTTCCACAGTAACATAAATGCCTTATGGAAATTGAACAAAATACACCCTTAAGCTAATTATTATGAACTCAGAAATGTGTTGACTACAATGCAGGAAACCAGCTGTAACTTGCAGTTAAATCATCTCCCCTTCTTGAGAAACAAAGGTTTATTTCTAGCTTTTAAAGGAAAAAATATACATGATTTCAATGGATTAGATAGCCTGCTCACTGCTAGTTGCGAGTATTACTGAAATCTAATAATAGAAAGACACAAAGACATTTCTGCGTACACACACAGACTCTAGACATATACATATCATAAATGCAATGGTAGCAGCCATGAAATAAATCACACTTATTACAGTTCATTGCCTACAGTATATTTCTCCTCCCACTACTCCACCTTCTTTAGCAATGGGCATAATATTCCAAAGCTCTAGGGAGCAGCTTCCCATAGCTATTTCAAAAGCTGCAGCCAGACAAGCAAATGTTTTGTTCCTTCATTCCAAATGTTGAACACGGACAGCTCCTACCTGCTGACCCAATGAAGAGAGGAAAGATGAGCATCAGATATATCACAGACCTCATCTCCTCAGGAGTAGAAACAGGAACGTTGTGCTGTTGGAGAAGAGATCTCTCACACAGCACTCACTCTGAGCTTTATGAGGTCCCAAGACATCAGACTTTAAAACTACAAGGTGACTGTGCAGAAAAAAATAAAGAAGCAGAAGCTATTCTAAGTTATGTCAAGAGCTGTTTTGAATGTCTCAAATGTGAACAGTTGGTGTAAACAAGCCTAAATGCTTTGACTTTACAGGCAAAGGGCTACGAAGATTAAACCAGTGATAACTTCTATACATTGCACAACATTCTAAACCAGCTCAGTTTCTGTAAGTTACTTTGAATCTTATCTCTGATAATTCATCTTCCCCAGATTCTACTTGACAGGGACTCTGCATCACAATAAAGACCTATGTAAGTTCTACATATAATATAGAAAGGATTGTTACATCAGGACTGCAATTTGAAATTGTTGCTTCTTGGCTTACGTTTCTTGAGGTTCCTGTTCACTACAGGAGTACATGAAAGCCCCACAGGTGCTAGCCATAAGAGGAAAAATAAAACATTTTTAGAAAGTATAATATTTGAGGGAAAATAAAAAAGGCTGACAAGTGCCATCTGATATTGCACTGTACAAGAAAACAAAGTACAAGAAAACTGCTAAAAAGAACAACGTTATATTGCAAGAACAGGTTTCTGAGAAAATTGTATGAAGTTCTGAGAAATCACATATACATGTTTGTAACAGTGAATTTCTACCAAATGTCTCATTTGAATAAAAATGCAGGAAGGAAGATACTGACCAGTGTAAGTGCATGAGCCTATGTGATCGGAGTTTAAAAATTAAGGTACTTTACATTTACCAGTCATGCTAATTATGATCAACCCTGCTGCAATTTCACTGAGATGAATAGTTATATCAGAGAATGATTTCGTCCACAGATTTGAATCTAAGCCATACTGACTCTTCTGAACGATCTTTAATACACAAGCAAAGGGAGAATCTGTGATATGTTTCCCTGTGCTGCAGTATAGCAGCTCAAATGAGAGAGATGCTCTGAGGTGCAAACTGTGGCCCTGTAGGCCAACATACATGAAAGCTTCTTTTAACAATGTCCTTTTGATGTCCATGTGAGTTAGGTACCTGCATATCTTATGGATTTGATCTCAGTGCTTTGGAAAAAAGTATTTAGCCTTTCAGTATCAATATGAAATGAGTACATAGGGTACAAACAGCAGAGAAAAAAAATCCACTATGCACACTTATTCACAAGCTGCCATAGACAACACCTTTAATTATCATTGCTTATTTTTGCTCTGTGTATTGCTATTCTACTTCTGCGTGGATTTCACATTACTAGTTCATCAATTCTACTTATTTTCAGAATATATCAGAAAAAAGAGTTGCTTCATTATTTTTAATGGACTTTAAAAAAAAATTATCCAACAACAGGTGAAATAAG